AGCTTTTCAGTTCTTCTATCGCGTATCACAACGGCCTAGGTGGGTTCCTTTCTTACCTCATTACATTTCTTCTGGATATACTAAATCATGTTATGTCTTTCATGGAAGATGGCAAACTAACATTCGCAGTTTATTAACCCTTTTTACATTAATTTAACGAGTCTTCCACGAATGATGTTGGGATTTACGCAAATTGGATACAATTATAATACGTTATTGCGGTGGCATACCGTGTTACTCGAAGACATAGTTAAGTTTTTTTTTGTATTGATGTCTTTTTTTCGAGATTTTTGCCGTTGCAATGCATTTTTTTTTAATGTGAGAAGGTGGTAAGTGTTCTGGCTGATTCACCTGGTTAGTGACAGCTGCCACCCATGGAGCCTTGCATTGCAACACCCGTAGGGTTGCAAATGCGTTGCTACTGTTTAATAAAGTAGACCCCGGCTACTTCACACATCAGCAGATACGCAGAAGTATAACACTTCCACTTCACGCCGGTCTTCTGTGATGTCGTGGTACTTATCCGGACGGACCTGCCCATTCGTGCAATAGCGAAGACTGTTGCGTGGCCCTACCACCGTAAAATATACATCTTTAACGGCAATGAATTCAACATTCCACGCAGGGACTTATTACGTGTGGTGGCCAGTAATTGGTTGACACGCAGCGGCTTCTGCTGTTGCAGGAATGGGCAGATACGGTGAAGTACCACGGCCACTCAGTAGACGTGGTATTTCCCTGGACGAGTTACGTCTGCGCATGAAGGCCGGCCCATTAATGCACAGATGAAGTGAAAATGTTTTCTGTTGAGTGAGTTAAATGGTTCACGGTGGTTAAATCCACTTCTTTGAAGGTTGGTAGTGGATTTGTAAACCTGTTCTATAAATACAGGAGAGCGGCTAAAGCGACTCAATACAATACAATACAAAATCAGCCTATTGCCGTCCACTGCTGAATGTAAGTGCGCCAACTAACCCAGTCCTGGGCAGCCCGCAGCCATCCGCTGTCCGCCACCTTTCTTAAGTCGTCAGTCACTCCTGCTGAAATCGACTCACTCTGACAAAATGTACAAAAACGTATTTTTTAATGACAATGAACATAGTGATGTGCACATTGTTATATATTTTTTTGAAAATTTAACGTTAAAGGAAGCCTTTCCCGCTATCCTAGCTCTGTGAATTCCCTTCGTATCTCCGGAGCCCAAGTTCCAGTACTAATGAGATTAATATAGGACTACATGGGAAGCACCAGTTCTCAAATGAAAAAAGAATCATCAAAATTGGGTCACTCAGTTGAAAGTTCTGAGGAAAAAAAAAATAAAAAAAAAATACAGTCGAATTGAGAACCTCCTCCGTTTTTAATTAGGTTGAAAAACCTTGTAATTTATAAATTCCCGCATTGAACACTTTATAGCAGCCATTTGACGTGCTATTTGACACAGGCTTTCCATATTTATTATTGGAAATCTACAGCTATAAAATGTAAAGATAAAAAGCTATTTTATATATTGAATAATATACTTAAATGAGTTAAGTGCTTGGTTATACAGATTTTGAACTCATGTAATATCATGTTGGTCCTCAAGCGTTTTCCCAAATCGCGTTGGCGTATCTTGCAAAATTCATTAACGCAGCAAAGCTAACGTAAAACCACAAATTAGCCTAAAAGGCATGCTAACACGATAAGTACTTGTCACTTTGAGAAATAACCTTGCATTTTGTGCGTGTAGATAAGCGTTAAATTATTATGTAAGTGAAAACGCCCGCGACTTTACCTACAGTATTCATTATTGCTGTATGCTGTTTGCGAATGAAGCTTAAAAGCTGTTCCTCTTATACTATATTTCTTTTATTTACGTAAATAATATACGAGGTTATTTAAAAATATTTTAGCCGGTCACGGGAAGCAATATCACACTGTAAAGTGTTCGAAACGCCGGCAATTTAAATTCAAAATAAAACGTGAAAAAGTCCGTAAACAGTTTTATTTAATCTCTAATAGTTATGGTTTCGACAAATTTTATTGAAACTTAAGCCGTAATATTATGGAAAAAAAAATCTTTTATTTACATTTTTTTAAATCCCTTAAGAGATATGTAATAAAATTTTATAGGATTCCCGTAACTTGGTCTACGATGCTAAACCAAAATTCACCATTTTTTCATATAAAACATTTGTAAAAACTGATAATCTGATTACTGAAATATGATTCACGCAATGTCTAACTAAACGATTAACTGAAGTGACGATGGGCCGGCCATATAGCTCGTAGATCCGATAAACGTTGGGGAAGAAAGGTTCTCGGTGGCAGCCTCGTACTGGCCTTCGCAGTGTGGGACGACCCCCCACTAGATGGAGTGACGACCTGTGCAAGTGTGCGGGAAGTCGATGGATGCACGTGGTTCAGGAGCCTGCTTCGTTGCAGTCTGTGAGGATCCCATGTTCAGCAGTTGACTCAAACAGGCTCAAATGATGATGATGATGATGGTGATGAAGGGTTGAATGGTACCGATTTTCGTAATTGAAGTAAATATACAGGTCAGATACAAACTTTCACACACACTTTACCTACAACAACCAAATGTTCTCGTATGATTCAAAAGTTATAATAGTACTTTAGTATTGGCCATTTCAAGCAGAAAAAAGAATTGATTGGCTGTGAATTCTAAATTCAAATTAATATTTTTTTAAAAACATGACTTTTGAACTTGAGAACATTATGAACATTCTTTCTACAAAGTCAGTTTTTGTTTATTGAACAGCTTTGTATTTTCATTACATTTGAAGATTTTTCGACATCCATATTATGTACTTTAAAAAATCATGTAATTACGGAATATGAGTTCCGTCGCGGCTCCAAAGCGACACAAACAGCACCTAAAATCAACAATGTTTGTCGGAGAGAATTTTACAAACGCGTTATTGATTTGCCCGGTTCCGTTTTGTAATTTTTGACTTGAAAATTGAACGACCGGACACTGGATAACAATGATGAGTTAAAGGCGATTGTGGAAGCTGATGATACTCAATCTACAGCGGAGCTAGCAGCAGCTTTTGATGTGAGCATCAAAACAGTATTGGTCCATTTGCGACAAATTGGAAGGTAAAAAAGATTTATCGATGGGCGCTAAGAACTTCGAGACCTGCCTTGCACTGCTGAAAGCTCTCCCTCATCCGCCATACTCACTAGACCATGCACCTACCGACTCTTACTTTTTTTTTTAATTTGGCCAGCTTTTTAGTGGGAAAAAACTTCCCGAGAGGCAGTGCAAAATGTATTTGAACAGTTTGTTGCCTCCCGTCCAGCTGACAACTGCAAAGATGCATCGATTCTTTTCGTGACTTTTAATAACAGAAATAGAAAAGTTAAAAAAAAAAAAAAACTACTTTACCTTATTTTATACGAAACGTCAATTGAATAGGTTGTAAAGTTATTATATTCCGTGTCTTATCCCAACCTCCTTATAAATTATGTGCAGTACGAATTCGAATAGTATTTCAAACTTATTGCCATGTACAATTAATTTTATATGAGTGTAAATAAGATATTTGACTGATTATTCCTTTATGATATTAATGAAGAGTACCACGTCCAATTCCAGACCACCGGGTTCCCGATCCTAACCCGTCATTCGTTGATTACTAATAACCGAGCCCACGCATCGCTCTTCCCACGGCGCGGCAGTTTAATAGATCCCGTAATTGAATTTCTTATTGAATTACAATTTAATTAGTTCGGATTGCGTAATTGATGGCCGTTTAGTATTGTTTCGCTCGCTGTTGATGGATGGCCGAGGCACGGGGGAGTTAGCTGCCACATTTTTCAATTCTCGACGTGTAATCATAACAAGATTGATGTTTCGGGGACCGTTGAAAGCCGCTATTGGTTTGCCCCCGTCGGATCCGTTCTGATTGCGTTTTGCATGTTTATTCGATAATTGCCCGCTTTTAATGCATAACCATAATTAAGGCGTATATTTAGCTTATTATTTCGTATAATAAGCAACAGATATTTTTTTAAATACAGATTAGTTTTTATATTTTTAATCGGCGACTTGTAAGTTATGCATCACAGAGATAACTTTACATACCCACAATTTCAGCTCATGCATATGAGCTATGTACCTAGATGTATATAAAAGTAAAAATTAGGAATAAAAGTAAAAATTAGGAATAATTACTGAAATAATGAATCTGTTTACATTCCAATTTCCTTTATTCATACTGGATATTATTTATCAATTATAAAGTTCAATCGGTTTTATAGAGTGTATTAAAATAACTTTCCAGAATTGATTAATTTTCTTTGGTGACGTAATTTAGTGAAATATTGTAATTTTTATAAGTACAATTGATTTATCCTCGATCTGATATAACAAAATAGTAAAAACAAATGTGGGTGATTTTAATAATAATAGTAACACGTATTTCTTTATAGCTAATTGTCATACATTATTTAGACATGGTAGAACCAGTATCTTCATAAAAAGGAGGCAGAGTGGTAAGATTTTAATAATAAAAAAAGTCTTTAAATAATATTTAAATATTGCATAAAGTACTGTGTACAAGAGGCACTCATTACGATAAGTAACCTGAATTATTAGATATCCCTTATTGATAAAATACTTACAATATTAACGAATATCTTACTCTATAATAAATAACAATAAGGCCAACATGTGGACGGATCCGAAATAACACAACGCGTATTAAATTAGTTCGTTCAAAATAATGTACTTAAATACCACAGAAAATATCTTACAATGCGCTAAACTCTAAATAATTCTTGACATTTACTTTCTAATCTTGAATAGTTTTTACGATGCAGAGGTATTACACTAAATTTAATCTTTTAAAACATACAGGAAATAAAAAAAAAACCTATTACAATATTACAAATACGTACAGTTTTAGTGTTAAATTTTCACAGATAATAAATAAAATTCGATGCACTAATGTCATCGGCCAGTAATACAAATTGGGTTAATTGGATAAAGCTCAACTAATCAGGTCTGAGTGGTGTCTTTGTCTAAGCATTTCTAATCGTAGCTCGTGTTCCCTCGCGGCCATTCTTAATGCGGCGATGCTGGAACTCCTCCTTTCGACTTCCGGCCCCGTTTGAGCAGGGGGCGACTCACTTCCGGGCGAGATAGGGGGCGACACAGGGGGAGGGTCAGGGGACTGCCGGGGGGGAGCAGCTAGGCCAGCCAGAAGGGAATGGAACGGGGGACTGCTGGTGTACATAGGTGCACTAAATAAAGGCGGTCTCGGTAAAGGTGCACCTAAATACTGCGTGCTCAATACCGGTGCGCCTCCGTACCTATAACAAAAGTGTATAATATCGTTAATATTAATTCAACGCTGTACCTACTCGTAATATTAACCTTTACAAAAGTATCAAGCGATAATTCGAAATTTATACAGCTTTCTTGACATTCAATTTACAAGTGTGATTTGAAATTGACAACTTATTTATTTATTTTTGAAATTGGCAACTAAAGAAACGTTGCAAACAACGGTTTATTATAAAATTAGAAGAGCCTTAAAAGTTAATTAGGTTAAACATGGTCTAGGAAAATAACCAAGAACTGGAATACACAGTATGACATCGTTTATACTTTATATACTCATATCTCTATAAGCTTAGATAGAGCGAACGTTAATATATAAGTTAGATTGCATTTTAATAAATAACAAACCTAAAAGAGGCCAGGGCGTTTGTATCAAAGGGCTTCCTGAAGCCAAAACCCAGCTGCGAGAAAGGGTTCGGCATGGAAGCAACCACTGATGGTGGGGGCGCCCCCGCCGCCCCCAAGTAGGGGTTGTAGGGATGCGCTTGGGGACCCACTTTCTCCTGCTTACGCCACTTCGCGCGACGGTTTTGAAACCACACCTGGAATTAAATTGGATATGAGAGTGTGTCAAACGTATTTTATTTGGTTTTAATTTACCTTTACTTTGTGGCAACATTCAATAATACAAGGTGTATTATAACCAGCCCCTTCACTTGGTTTTGTGTAAATAAAATTGTTAATATAATTATGTGGGATGAAACGTGACCTACGTGTTAATTCTGTTTATAAGCCTTTCAAATTACTACATTTAAAAATGTTAAGACGCTTAAGACTGCATACAGTTTAGTAAAAATAAAAATAACAAAAACTCTTGCAATCATAATTTTATTACATTATGAAACTGTGACATTTCTTGTCATGTTTGTAAATAAATTCAATAAAGTCCTGTTTAATATGGCAGCTATTGAACGATTTTCATGATTTATAACATTTAAAATGTTAATTGAATATAACAAGGCTGCCAGCAATAATAACATTAAAAATGTTAAAAAGTCACGGCTGGCCCGCAGTGAAGTTGTTTACTTTTTCAATATTTAAAAATGAATTGCAAATGCACTCCAAAGCCCGTTCCGTCGCCCCAGGAGTTCTATTGTTAGGGCCGCAGTGCAAAATTCGATTATAGGATAGATTTTGACATTTAAAGGGGAAAAAATTAGCGAATCACAATGAGGCATGTGCATGCTGTGATTGATTATGTTTGTTCTGCGTTTATGTGTGTAAGTTTCATTCGTGCCCTTTAAATGAATAATGGTCACTTTGAAATGTATTTGCATAAACCAATTATAGCCCAGTTAAAAATATTTTGATCTTACATTTAGAATAAAAGGAAAGAGCCATACAATATTTAAGCAAAATATCTTTAGCGTTTTGACAATTGCGTATGTATTCTATTCAACTAAATTATTTTTTTGTCAATGTTTACAGGTCTTTATGTAAAAACATCAAGCTTAGACCAAATTACTCTATGAATGCACTTTAAATCACAGTTACCTTGGACGAATGCGACAGTTGACATGATGATCGTTCTTATGGTTAAAAAACAAACATTGTGATGGCGGTTTCAACAAGAGCGTGTATCAATCGTACGTCGTACGAATTTTGTCGACGTTCGATCAAGTAGTGTATATATTACTCTTGTAATACTTAAACTAAAAGCTTTAAATCAGATTTTGAGAATATCGCACTGACTGAGGAGAGTGAGGATGGCATGTGTTACAAATGTATCAAAATATCAAAATAAAATAAGACATCCGATACTTATTATTCGTAACTGTCATTTCAAAAGGATAACAATGTCGCTGCGTTGATGTTGTAAAAATAAATTAAGATTTGGTCGAATTTTGACCAAAGGGTGTCTAAAAAACTTACGTTAAAAAAAATGGCGGCGGCATGATCATCTTGTATTTTACAAATTTCGCGCTATACGAACAGTTTAGTAGTTAGTAGTTTTTAGTAGTCATAATCACCTATGGGTGATATAAGTTGAGTCCTCGTATACTTATATTATACTAACTGAAAAAAGTGAACTTGATTTATCAATATCCGAAATTGATCCAACATTCAATGTGCGCACACACGCACACACAAAAAAATGAAACGATACCAAACAATCATTATGTAAACTCTTATTGTTATGTTAATTCAAATTAATTCACTTATGATAAATGTGCGTCGGCAAAAAACTGCAGCAACGTTTCTGCAAATGTCGATGCGGCTAAAACGGATGCTGCGGCGGAAAAAACTAAATACTGCTTAAATTTATTAGCGACGCCACAGTCCACTTTCGACTCAATCCCCATAGGGATTAGGTTCATTTCGAACCTTCGCTTATGATTCTATTGGGTTCACAATGACCATTTTATAAATATGACTTCATACGGCCGGTCGCTCGAATTCATAAATGTTGTAATTGGAGGCAAACACGTCGGCGGAATGCCGGGTACGGTCAACATAAAAAGATGCCAGTCGCGTCCCAGGTGCCAGCATTAATAGCTTAACAGAGCAGCGTAATAAGGTAATGACCGCGTCTTGGTCAGAAGATGCCACGGCCCTAAAATGCCGCCGGACGACTCCAGCCTCACTGGGCGTTCAGCACAGCGCTTTTTGCACAGAACGAATATAATTCTCACCTATTAGCGACGGTTAATTTGTTGTGCTACCATTAGTTGTAATTTATGTACATTATGGAAGACTCGATTTGTTCTATCGAAGCCAGTGTTACTTTTAGAATTTACTTATCAGAGACGAAAACTCGCTTTAGAAACGCTCATGTATCAGTTACGATTTGGTTTTTATTTCCACTGACTAAATAAACGTTGACTATGAATTAATGGTATTAGTTACAACTGCTAACATGTGTCGGTGAAGGGACGGTTGTTTCAATTAGACTCGAGCATGAATAAGTTTTCGGAAAGGTCGCGAATGGACGGGAAAAAATTGTTTACCACCACCTTTCAGTTGCAAAATTGAGAGGGATATAAAATAAACACGCGCCTTTTAATAAGACATGGCCGCGCGGCGGAAAATGTTAATTGATAGGAACATAAAAGACATTCTATGAATATTTCCACATTCCGTATCAACCTTAATGTAGATGTTAGGTTTTTCTTAGCTCTCGCATATGGGCGAACGCATGGCATTCGCCCATTCGCCGTCGGTATGCTTTAGTGTGTAATAACGTACTATAAAACAGAATTTTTATCTGGAACCTACAAGTAATTTAAACGCTTAATTAAATCGAATCAACATAATGGACACCGACTATCGGTACGTCCCGACTGCGGTGTTTATAAGGCGATTTTAGTAATTGGTGATAAAGGAGCATGAGGAATATATTAATAGATGATGATATAAGTAAAAAAAAAACGTGAAACGTAGCTTTTACAAGAGCCACGAAGTGGGGTTTTCATAATAAAGCACACTAAGTATGCGCGAGTTCGGATAAACTTTTACTTGATCCTATACATCGTTGTTCCGTGTGAAAATCGAATACTAAATACGGTGGAAAATGGCAGTTACAAAGGTGGACCACCTCGTCTATTAAAATATCTCCAACTTAAAAATTCATCCAATAATGTAACTATAATACAAGTATTATTTACACTAAAACGTTTAACAGTTATGTAAGTTTAACATTAATTCGTGTCACACTGGTTTGAATTTAAAACAGTTAATCGATATCAATATTTCGCAGTGTTGTCATGCTGCTTCTAGCAGTGCGTGGCGTATATAACCAGTATTCATAATTATGAGATACGAGAAAACGTTTGAAGGCTTCGTTTAATAATCAAGCCTTTGACGGACGCTACGTAATTATTGAAGTTTTAAAGATTGACGAATCAATTGAATATGATAATTTTTAACAGAATTATTTTTGAATGTCTATGATTTTCTTTTATAATTGGAAACGGTTAATTTATCATTCGCGCAAATTTTAATTTATTCGACATCGCAATAAATCATATTCACAATCTAGTGGTAAAATATATCGATTGATTTCATTATTGCGTTTTTGTTCAAATTTTGAATGGTAACTTTTTTTTTTCATCGAAGCGACATATGGTCGTTCAAAATTTAGACATTTGCAAATAAGTTATTTAATTGTAACGAACTGTCATTTGAATTACAACTTGGTAATGCAATTTGTACGTGAGCATGTTAACAAATCTTGCGCATTAATTACAATTGCAATTAACGAACACAAGAGTTGCTGTGCAGTTCGCGATGGATATGGTTATTGCCAGCGATACTTCCGACGATGGGGAATATTAATGGCATTCAGTTAATTTGTGTTTCGATTATTTTATCTATCATGCTTCAAAAGATTATGATTAAAAGATCTTAGCTTCCGAAGTATCTTTAAAACATTTCACAGATACAGTTTATATTCGTCTTGGTCGCATCGCAGTCGAGATCACTTTGTCTCGCTCTTATGCGTATGTGCAACTTCACGCGGGGCATTCACACAACAAAGACCGTCACACCACCGAGTGTGTATGAGGGCAGTTTTTTTTATGTGAGAAGTTGCCAAACGAGCAGACGGTTCACCTGATGTGAAGTTACTGAATTTTTATTAATATATTCAGTTATAAGAGATAACTCGATTTGTGCACTAGATAGTGCTCTCTTTACAAACGGCCTGCGCGCGTTGGATCGATTCCACATCAAATTAATCGTACATGGTGTACGTTAATTGGAATTCTACATGTGTTTTTCAATAGTATACAAAGATCGAATTCGTGAATAAATTTATTATTGTAGGCTGAATTGAAAAAGAGGGATGTCGACTTGCTATTTGAGACAGCGACTTAGAATCGTAATCGGGTAATTATTAACATTACTGACATCGTTTGGAATGTTCTTTAAAACAAGTTTTTGCATTGTTTTCTTTTACCGTAGTACTAAGTAGATAGGTGTTTAATGTTGTAATAAAGAATTTACTTGATCACGATAGATCTGATCGGGTTTCTCGAGTACAACTTAACTTCGTTGTACTCGAGAAACCCGATCAGATCGATTATTTGTAGGTACCACTCAGGCTTTATGCAGGTCATTAAATACGTTCGGTTTCGCTCAATTACATATGAACAGCATTAAATATTCTAAAGTGCGTTGGCTCTGTGCGTTTTCTGTGAACAAACTAACGGAATCTTATGTTAGGTTCATTCAAGCACAGCACAGTATTCTTTTTATAATGATTTTTCAGTTACGCTGGTTATGTGTGAATTTATGTTAAGATGTCGAGGTTGTAAGGTTAGAGGCAGATCAAGAAAGTTGTGGATAGAGTGTGTGAAGAATAATTTGTTTGTGAAAGAGTAAGTATTGAGATGACGGCTGATAGAGGACAGTGGAAGGTAAGGATGTTTTGCCGATTCCGTCTGGCTCACAACAAGGGCAGGACAGAGAGAAAGAAGATTCATGATTGATTATATTATTATAATATTAAAAAAAAATTCCCTTGGGAAGACATTTTGACTGTAGTTATTATTATTCAATAATGGTATGAAGATATTATATTATATGACAGTAGGCATTTCATCTGATGGCGGGTGATTCAAATTCGTTACGCCAGTGGAGGTGCCCGAACATGCAAAATCATAAGTATTTATCTTTACGCAGCAAGCCTTATTACTTATATGGTCGAATGATAAATACCCCGGCAGAAGCGAGAAAGTGAAAACGAGATGCTAGACTATACGTTAAAGACCTTCATGTTTGTGAAGAAATGTGTTTTGGCGGGAAACGTAACGTTGTGGCGACAGTATAGAAAGTATGTTGCGATGTAAGATTTATGCACGTAAATAAATGACACAAGAATGAAATACGTATATATCGTCTAATAAAAACATCGGGAACAAATTTCAATAGCCTTGGTCGGAAGATTAAAAACAATTGCTAAGTAGTAAATGTACAATAGTGTTAAACTTTCACAAGTACCTACCCAATGCGAGAAATGATCTGAGAAATCTTAAATGTGAAAAATGTCTTCGTCGATATTTGATCATTACTTCTCGACTTTTGGGTCGAAACGAGTGTATTGTACCTTTAATCATAGCATTGGCGAAACAGTCGCGTGTACGTAAACGAGGCGAATTACCGACAGTTAAACGGGCCGCACGTAAGGTAAATAACTTAATTGATTCAATACCTGTATTCTTGCTTCTGTCAAGCCAATCTTCATTGCGAGCTCCTCTCTGAAACAAAAGAAAATAATTAAGACTCAAATCCGTTTTTAATGAGCAATTATCAGCCAGTTACGAATAGTCCGTGACCGAATTAACCGAATATTAACCGAATAGGTGGGCTTTTTTTTCATAGCCTACTCATCATATCAAACAGATTGTTATTATAAAGTTTTTGAATTGGTACGTTTGTAAGAAAATTTTTATATCTAAAATTCTTTTTGCGTTGAATCGCCGATATAATAGGTAAAATGGTCGCAAGTCAGGAGGCGGATCACCCGATGTTAAGTGAATATCGCTGCCTTCAGATGCGTTACCAACATATAAAAGACCAGCTGGTGTGTGGGGCCAGCTGAAACGCAAAAGTACAATAATTTCATCTAATTAAAGACTACAGTCAAGATAAATAGAGGAAAGAGTTTTTAAAGATCGCAAAAATTTTTCATATCGTGTATGTTTAATATAAATCGGATGTACATAAGTGAAAAAACATATACACACATATCTCTCATTCAAAACAAGCATTGTTTTACATTTCCGAACAGTGTAATTTCGTTATCTTAAGACGGAAACGTCGTCATTGAAAAGATTAAAGGCCTAAAAATAGGTTATGAATTATATTGACTAATTGATATCAAATAGATATGAATACGGCAAAGTCTACGTGCAGTTATTCATATCGTTATTTTTCATTCATATGTTGATAAGGCAAATTGTAATTACATGTTGTTAGATATAATCGAAAGCGCGTTAATAATTCGGCATGTTATTTTTGGAGAATTAATCCATTGATTTACACTGATAGTAACTTTGAAAATTGTTAAGCGGGTTCTCGCGGTCACAGATCTGCCGTTAAACAGAAGTAAAAATGTCTCTATTTTTTATGTTCGTTTTTTTATGGGGCCATGCTTTTCCATTTTCCGACGAAGCCATTCCAGTAATAGCAGATTAATGAGGGTTTATCACAGTAAACATAAAATATTATGATTCTATTGACTTTTTTTTTATGAGAAAAGTTGTCCACCTGTATTTTTATTTCATCCGTATCTTTTAATAGCCAGCGCTACATCTAGGACTGACTCTTATATATAGATATAAGAAAAGGGAAATTTATTTCACGCGATCTAATAATGACCAAGATAGAATATAAATAATTTCTGTCTATGTTACGAAACTATTTTATATTGTAGTCATAGGTATATATATTGTATTTTAGGTATAGGGCATAGGGAGTAGAGAGAATATACTATCAAACGAAATCCGCCAATTTCATGTTTAAACTACAAAGCTATTTCCATAACATTTCGATAGTAAAAATATTTTGTGTTGTGTTTTGTGTTCAAGAGAGTTTGGAGAAAGAAGAGAAATAGAGAATATACAAGAATTATATAAAAAACAACTCGTGATGATTTATTAATTTGCAACTTTGTAAGTAGTTACCTCGTTTTTTGTTTTGTTCTTATCCCACCCAGGATGAATGATGGAATAGCATGAAATGCGAATGATGTTGTTTACGGTATTGGTAAGGTATTTACGGCCGGCCGCATGCTTGACGTCAACCTTCTTTGAGAATTAACACCCAGATCCAGAACGATTATTCACTGATAATGGCCCACAGGAATCGACCAACGGTGCCGAAGCTAATAGCGAAGCAACTACGCCCCCGAGTCATTCCCGCAACTATAATAATAAAAAAGAACGAGATTTTCAAAGACAACCAAATTTCGTTATAAGGTCGAACAATTATAACTTTCAGACCTCGAATGAGAGAATGATGGCATGGTGAACGGCTTAGAGAGCTGCGGATTTCCTACCATCAGAAAACATTACATCTCCTACCGTTGTATGGCGACAATCCTATCATTAGAACTGTTTTAGCAATATCAATGAGAGGCTTTTCGCGGTACCCGCTGGGGGTAGACTGGCGACAGCTTGCTCTTTTGTTGTTGCTTACCTCGTGAACACGTCGGGGTAATGGGTCCTGGAGAACGCCTTCTCCAGCTCCTCGAGCTGGAAGCTGGTGAAGGTGGTCCTGTACCGGCGCTGCTTCCTCTTCGGGGTGAACTCGTCGGCGTCGTCGCTGTCCGCAGATCCCGGGAGTGGGCGCTCCGAGGCAGGGGACCTATCCGCCCGGGACAGCTCCGGGGTGGTCCGGGGCGAGTCGTCCTTGGCCTCCGACACCCCCATGCCCGTGTACTTCTGGTACGCCTCTTGGGGGTAGTAGTCTGGAAGGGTGGCTTTCGTTTAGTGAGGCTGCATTCGGCTACGTTTCGATGCACTCGGGAGAGGTCACGATTGACTATGTGATTTTAACAACTCTATGAATGTTTAATTGTTATCGCGTAAAGTAATAACATTATTTCATAGTGTTGAAATTAAATATGTGGGCGAGTATTATTAATGTAATATTACTAGTTAAACGCGTAATGCGATTATTGTTGAAGTAGATAATGTCTCTTAAAGAGTAAATCTTTTCGAAAGCTTTTTGTTTAAAAATATATTTTGTATGGGTTTCGGCTAAAATGTGCTTATTTTTTGCCGAAATACATACAAAATATATTTTTTGCGTTTTCTTTTCCAAATCGGTAGTGGAATTGATGGGTTTAAATTTAATCAACCCAACTCAATGACTGTATGATGAAATCCTTCATTCCGGTAAACGGTCGGCTTCTAATAAGTTTGTTATTAGGACCATTAAGAAGTGAATTACAAACGAACTGCGAAGTAAGCTTACTTATAAATTTAACAGAATAATATATGATAATAATAATTAGAAGATACAGCTTTCTTTCCAAATCAGCTACCGTAAAGCCGAGCTACCGCCAATAAGGCATAAGGATCTGGGTGATTCGATAATGAAATTGTTATCACGTTATTTTTTATAAAAAAATATGAATAGTTTTGTCTTCAATGTATAAATCAGCTTATTATATAAGTCATGTTAAGTCATGTTCATGCTTTTTTGTAAGTCTTTTTCAAACGAATTGAGTCAAGCAATAAGACGAGATTATTCAACACTTAACGCGTTATATAACGATACGAAACAACTTTATCTAAAATAAAAAAAATAAAAAAACGACCCTTAATGAAGACTTTAATTGGTACGGAGTAAACATATTTTTTTTATTTAATATCATTAATTATTTAGAAGTAGTTTTAAACCGTAATTTATTTCAAAAGTCAGACTCGACTTTTGTCCATTCGTTCATTGATTCATTTTTTATTTTGTAGGTTAGTATTAAATGTGTATACCGGCTACATTGCCAACTACTTATTGTCTTCCATTACCGCCTTTCGAGGCGTTAATCTCATGATTCAGAACCATTATTCGCGATGTTAATTCTGACCTTATATCTGATGAACGATTACCGCTTAATTAGTTAATAGCACCGTTTTAATTAAGTCCCGTTTAAAGTATTATGTCGTAATAGGCACTAGATATTCGTTTCTGTAAGTGTGAGTTGGTTGAGGGGCATATATAAACTTTTGGAACTTTCTCAGAAGTGTTCATGTCGAACGAAACGAAATAATCTAGGCCGCTAAAGTTTATTTTTTATTTAAATAGTTCTAAAATAATACCCCTCGTTTTTAAGTGATTTTAGAGAAAACCGTAAACTTGAGTTAAACATACAGTGAATACCATTGCGTGGTCCTACCTCAGTTTCATAAATGTTCATAAGTTAAGTTACTTTTATTATTTTTACCGAATGCTTTGAGTCGATTGTATAAGTTTTGACTTTGATTTTGATTTGACTCTGTTCGCGTTACGTAACGGAAAAAAGAAATGCTACCTACCCATCGCGAGGTCGCATGTGAAATGTGTATTTTAACAACAATAATTAAGTTTACAAATTACCAGTTAGCGATTACAATTCACCTTCAGCATTATACGTGTACGCTGTATATTTTTTGATATTCGAACATTTTCATTTTTAGAGTTACATCTGCCAAAGGAAACGTGCGCCATTTTGTTGTAAATTTAAATCCAATTTAACTTTTATGACAAAATCATACTTACATATTTATAAATATCTGATTAATTTTGATTGTAGATAAGTATTTATTCATTTCATTCATTAAGTCAACCCACACCTTTACTCCTAAATTAATTTATTTTTAGTCCATTCAAATGTTGTCTGGAAGAAATTACTTTTAGAAATAAGACCGCCCATTGTACCCATCACATCTATATTAATTTTTGTGTGTGTTTTATTTTTGTATGATTTATTTTTGGTGTGCAATAAGGTATATCCATTCATAATAAAATCAAGAAAAACCAAAAATTTTATTTCATATTAGTAAGTAAAGGTAAAGTTATAGCCTTTGTATGGCCCACTGTTGGGATATAACCTACTACCTACTACTAACCTAACGGTACAAAGACTATACTCCATTATGCGACCCCACTGCGGATTGGCGGACTTCACATATCTGCGAAATGTATTTATTTGTTATTAATTCGAAAATATGCAGATTTCCTCACGATGTTTTCCTTCACCGCTGTGCACGTGATAAGTCAGCACTTTAAATTAACAATTTCATTGGTACTGGGAAATAAACTCATGTTGTTCGTGTATGTTGAATTAAAAAAAAGCGCCCGGACAATGACCTATCATAGTTGTCATAAAATTTTACCAAGAAAAAGCATTCACAAATTATGAAATTTAAAAAAAAACGAAGTTATGTTTATAGTAGTTAACTACGTATAAGAATAACTTATATATTATAAGAGAAATTAATATTATTTCTACAACATTTTGTCCCTTTTAAAGCTTTGTGTGAATTGAATCGCTTAATTGATGTATGAAATCTCCTTATTAAATCAAATATTGCGAAAACCGAACGGCACTTTGAAGACACTGGAATGAGCTCACCTTAATACTACAATTAAATATAGTAATATATTTTTTTAGAATTTTTTTTTAGAATAAGTGCAGACTGATCGCGATGGATTAATACCAGTCGAAAACAGTTAAAAAAATCCAGATTTAGATGCTAAATTTCTGAACGGATCACGGCCGTGTACGACTGTGCAATACGGGTACGGGATCCTTTATCCTATAGCGGATGAATGCGAGGAAGAGAGAAGAAAAAAAAGGAATAAAATCGATTCTACTCACAACTGACGCCCATTCTAACGGTCGGCAACGTGCCACAGCTATCGCGACGCGATCACACCCGAGCCAGGCCGCTCATGAATGGCATAATTCGCGCCGATATTCGCAACACCTAATTGCCGCCATCGGCGCGATAAGGCCGAAAGATAATGCAACTTCCTGTGCACCCCGACGCTATCCGGCCGAGCTCCATTCACTAAATACGCCGTTGCGTCGACCGCTTTCTCGATAAAACGCAAAGGAATATTTCCCCTAAAACATACTCTCGATTGTGTCATGGTATTATAACGTTTAATGTTGATTGTAAATTTGAATTTGTAAGGTTGAATTTCTTATATTTTCAGTTTGAAAGTGCTGATGCTGAAATGTATAATAATTATGTATATAAAAGAGTTCGCTATCTACAGGCGGAGGGAATTTATATTATTATTCATATAATATAATAAGTTTTTGTTATTCGAAAGGCAACTGGTCTAAAAGAAACTTCACTAGTTTGAGAGAGGTTCCGAAATCTGCTACGTAACGCATCAATGTTCCTAAGTACTTGACAATGCTAAAGCTATTTGTCTTTTCTCTAATGCTTTGCGCCACCACAATACTGTTTTCTTTTTACGTCCTTAATGGATCTAATGTGGAGAACGATCCAGGCCCCAATGACTATAACTACTGGCCGTAAACTCATTACTATGTACTTCTGGCCGTTAGGTCGTTGGGACCTGGATCTTAACGGCTCCTAACATTGTGCACCATTTAAGTCGCCCCTTATTAAGCCAAACTCTTCTTCTCAGCTGCCATTTGATGGGCCTTAGTAACAGGAAGTAGATAAGGATTCATTGTTGTTTTAATTCACCATTTTAATTTTTGATAATTATAATACGATGAAGATAACCGATATCAATGAGTTTACTTATTTAAACTGAACAAAACATATCAAAATTCGTTATCATAGTTTCATGCGCGCTGATAAAGGCAAATCCGATAAGTTTATCGAATGAAAACCATTCTTGGTTATCGCAAAAGCTACTTTATTTAGTTGAAATTGTCGACAATTTTGGGTGATCCCATGCGATACATCAAATTAGTTTGTAAAGTATAGCTAATTAAATGAATAAGATTAACAAAATATTTATATTAAGTAATCCCCAGCAGAGATTATAAAATTGCGCATGATGTTAGAAAATGGCAACATGGATAAAGCCTTTTTTGGATATTGTTGATTAATTTCCCCATTACGAGTAAGCTTAATTTCTATTTCAACCAAATGTCGTTCGAATTATTATTGATAATGCTGTATAGCGTTTGAGTTAAGAATGATGATTTCCCTCGTTTTTAGGGTTCCGTACCCAAAGGGTAAAACGGAACCTATTACTAATATAAGACTCCACTGTCTGTCTGTCACCAAGCTGTATCTCATGAACCGTGATAGGTGCACATTTGAATTTTTACAGATGATGTATTACTGTTGCCGCTATAATAAAAAATATTAAAAACAGAATAAAAATTATTCAAGTGGGACTCCCATACATCAGACATGATTTTTTTGCCGTTTTTATATAAGGTATGGAACTCTTCGGGCTCGAGTCCGACTAGCACTTGTCCGGTTTTGAATTGTATTTCGCTATATTAAATGGAAGATATTGAGATAAATAGAGACTGGCTGAGTTTCCATTTAAAGAAAGTTTAAAAATGCTTAAAACCTAGAAAAAAACAGAATATTAAATAAATTTTACAACATTGCATCATATGTCAAACGATATCTCAGTAATTACCTTACTAAGTCTAGAAAGTAATTATCAAAATCCAATTAATTTTAATCTTTTCGATTACATGTACTTATCGATAAATAATATTTATTGCTAATTCATTTATATACTCGTAACTTATTGTATAGTTATAATTAGCTTAGAGAAAATCAGACTTAATTTAATAAATCAGATTAAGACTATCGAACTTAAAGCGTAAAAAACGTATGTAGTTAAAAGCACAAATGCATTAAAATGCTAAGCAGCCTTGAGATAGCACAGCAGTTAATATAAAATCATGAATTTATTAAAAATTCTGTTAGTCTGTCTAGATCTTTCAGTAAGATTTCACGAATGGACAGGCTCGTCCTCGGAAGTATCACGGCACATCAAATCAAATCAAAATATATTTATTCACATAGGCGCTTGCGCTTTTTTATCTTCTTCTACCTAGCATTTATCCCAGCAATTGCCAGGGTCTGCTTTCCTTCTTAAACTCCTCCACTTTGCCCGATCTTCGACATCCTTATGGGTCAGTCCATTGGCTCTCATGTCCTGCTTCACAACGTCCAGCCATCGCTTCCTTGGGCGGCCAGGAGCTCTAGCTTCCGGGACAGGCATATCAAGGCATATCCTTCCGACATATTTTTCCGACCGGCGTGCGATATGGCCATACTATCTCAGGCGCCGCTCTTGGAGCTTATATGCTACGTCACGGACCCTGAGACTGCCTCGGATGAATGTGTTACGTATGCGGTCAGCCCGTGTGACGCCGCATATCCACTTTCGCATCTTCATCTCCGTGACGTGAAGCTCTTGAGTGTGCCGAGATAGAGCTGGCCAGCATTCGCTCCCATACAGAAGTACCAGTCGGATGATGCTTTTGTATACCTGTCCCTTGAGCTTGGGCGGTATCCTACGGTCGCAGACCACACACCTGTGACCTCTCGCCACTTAGCCCAAGCAGCGCGTATACGGGCTTGGACATCATGGTCGATGGTTCCGGACTCGTGCAAAACAGATCCAAGGTACCTAAACGATTCCGACTTAACGGCTGGTTCAGAACCTATTTGGATCGTGCTAGAGTCCGGACTCCCATAAGCCATGTACTCAGTCTTCACCACATTGAGTTTTAGACCGCCGTTCTCAAGCGTGCAGAGCTCTCCTTTTCTCCCTGTACGCCTCCATCAAAGTTCTGAGAGCAAAAATGGGATTCATGGTGCCAGATCCCGATCGAAATCCATATTGACATTCAGAGACAGTACACTCTTGGTGGAGCCTTAGATCGATAATGCGTTCGAAGAGCTTCATGGTGTGGCACATGATCTTGATCACCCTGTAACTAGCACAATCTTGAACACTGCCCTTTTCTTTTTAAATAGGGGTGATATAACTGAGACGCCACTAATTGGGCATCTTTCCAGTATTCAAGATGCGGTTGAAGAGATCAGTGAGCACGTCCTCACTAAGAGAGCTCAACGATTTCCACGCTTCGATCGGTATGTCGTAAGGCCCCACCCCTTTCCGGTTCTTTATGCGGCGAAGACAATCGCGGGCTTCGTCAGGTGATATTGGGGCAATAAGTCCGAGGGTAGGAGGCGGAATTGATGGAATTGGCGGCTATGCGAATGGTGATTGTTTAGTAGCTCCAGGAAGTAGCTTCTCCACCTATCCTTCACAGAGGCAGGGGTGCATAGCAACATGACCTGGGAATCCCTGACGCAAAGACATTTTGTGATATCTTGCGTCGCTTTATCCCGAGCACGTTTCCCTCCGCGGTTTCTAGCTTGTCGTACAGCGGTGATAAGCTTTTACTGCGGGCTCTGGCTACAGCTCTTTTGCTGGCACGTTTGTCTGCTATGTACTGCACTTTGTCTTCAGGATAGTTGGATTGTTGCTACTTACTGAATGCGGCCTTCTTTTCCCGAACGACCCCCTGAACCTTGTCATTCCACCACCATGTCTCCTTGTCAATGACGCGATGATTGCCTTGATGATTGCCGTCTGGGCTCGATCCCAAGCCTCTTGGGCAGTTTCGGCGTTAGTCAAGAGTTATGACTTTCAACCTCTGCCAGGAAGTCTTTCTGCATCGGTCCATTCAGCAACCACCACTTGATTCTTGGCTTACCTTTCTCGGCTACTTTTTTTTCGGAGTATATAAATAGTCCATGACAAAGAGACGATGTTGGGCCGTCAGGCTCCCACCACGAATTATCTTACAGTTAGTCACCTTACCTAAATGGCACCGTCGTTAACAGATAGTCAATTTGGGTTGAGTGTGGCCCGCTCTTATACGTGATGAGGTGCTGATCATTCCTACAACAACATAATACAACCTGTATTATGTATTATATAATAAGAATGCTATCTCCCTCTGTATTGCGACGACCACCAATAACACCGTGGACACGTTCATACGTCTCAGCTGCCTTACCTACGTGACCGTTTAGGTCCCCCCCCCCCAACGACTATCGATTCGGATATCGGTATAGATCGTAGTACTTCTTCAAACTGCTCCCAGAAGCCCTCCTTTTCAGTGTCGCTACAGCCTGCCTGGGGTGCATAGGCACTGACGAGGTTGGTTGTAATACCCTCAATTAGTACCTTTACCCGCAACTGCCTATCGCATCGACGTTCAACTTCTGGTAGACCATTCCGAAGCTCTTCAGAGAGCACTAACGCGACACCGTTTTTGCCCGAATGAGACCCGGTGTACACAAGTTGGTAACCCTGTCCGATGACACGGGACTTATTGCCCTTCCAGCGAGTTTCCTGAAGGAACGCACACTAGACTCGTCGTACTCGGAGTACATCTGTAAGTTCCCTGCATCGTCCGGTTAGAGAGCCAATATTCCATGAGGCAAAGCGGAGTTTCCTTCTGGGTCTTTAGCCGTGCCCGTACTTGACACGGTAGTCCTATTCCACTTATCGCAGGTTTAGGGCGATGTGCCTGCGCTTCGTTTAACGGCGACGCCCTAGCCATACCCAGACTTCTCTTTTTCTTGTCCATTAGAAATGGCGGTATTTGGTTTTATAAGGAGCGATTGCCATCTGACCTCCAAAACCCCATTGGAGGGGGAAAACCAGGAAAGGACATGGAGATATGGGGTAAGGGGAAGAGGAGGGAGAGAGGGACTTAAAAGGATATGGTAGGCGGGAAAAAGAACACAACTTTCACGGACGGTATGGGTGTGTGAAAGTGGTGGGGAGAGAACCCGGGGTCGCGTACCCGTATGTCCTGGGACAAATATCGGACAGGTATTTGGCAGAACAT